GCATCTTCAGAAATGTGGATTCAGATATGAAAATGATTCACAGCTGCACAAGTTCACTACCAAAACAGGCTGAATACTTCAAGATATTTTGCTCTGTTCTTTCTGCATATATTTTAACAAACATAATTTGAGGATGAATATTGGTTACTTGTCAGTATTTGGATTAGTAAGTTGGCCAGCTTTATTGTTGATATATTTTATAATACAGTTTAAAAAAAAAAAAAAAAAACCATAGGTGATCTACTAAGAAGACATATGGCAATTTTTTTGTTCTTAACCAAAGTAAATACGAAAAGTAAGGTGAGAGAGTTGAACGCTGGGCCTACATTAGCAAGAATTTGCTCATGAGACCATTCCATGAAATTCTCCTGACGGAAACAAAAAAGATATCCTATTTCCCAGACAGCTTACAGCAATTTCATAAGGAAAAAAAAAAAAAAAAAAAAAAAGGAAGAACGCTGCTCTGGAAAAGGGATGTTTTTGCCAGTATAACTCATCCACACCAAGGCTTAACTGGAACAGTTATGTCAGTCAGGGTGTGTGGTAAATAGAACTTTCAAGCAGCAAGGATAAGCTTTCAACAGAAACTTTCAAAGAGGTCAAAGAGGTCTATAGCCTTAAATCCTTGCTTGACAGGCATGGTGTGCATTTATAATGAAGAAAACAAAACCATTAAAAAGGGCCATGTCCTAAAATGTTCCACAGAAGAATAATTAAGAGACAATATTCAAAAGCATACAAACAAATGACCCTTTCTGATGCAGAGGAAAGGCAGGAAGTAGTTTTAAAGACTAATTCAGCTCCAGTGAGGTGTTCTCTATCGACATAAAAATTCAAAAGTAATTGACCCTAAAAGTGAAAATAAGAGCACATGGCTAAGCTGAGGATATTGGATGGGCGTTAAAAATGTATCTCTCTATATATCTGTATCTCTCTATATATAGATACTTATCTCAGAACTGGATGGCATATTTAAAGGTGTATATATATCAAAAATGATAAATACAAATTAAATTGCAACTTACAAGAGACATATGAAGCAATAAGAAGAGGCTGTATAAATAAAGCAAAATGAAAAGAAACATAAATGGAAGTACAGAGCAATTAGCAATGAGGAAATTATGACAAAAGCTGAAACCAACAAGGCTGAACTCAATTTCTTCTTTGTTTATATTGCTCCTAACCCCCAAGGGTTAACTGTAAGTAGAGAGCAAGGAACAGGACCGGAAAAAGAATAGGCCTATCATTTAATCCTCACTCATTCAGCAAGCTATAATATACTTAACAGCTTAAGAGAACATTAGAAATAATGTATTAGTGGACAATACAGATAACAGCTATACCAAGCATGAGTTAAAACCTCAGTTGTGATGATGGGAAATATCAAAACCCCTCAGAAATAAGAAAGTGCAAATTAGAAAGGAATCAACCAAAGTTTTCCTTAGTCAAGGTCAGAAAGCCAGCTTCCTCACCAGTAACTGATAGACAATGAGATAAGTTTACATGAAAAATGAGAAAACTGTCTAACAAACAGATGGGCTTATCTTAGGCTAAGATTATTTACCTTATACAGCTTAAGAAAATGTTATGTTAGCGGTGAGATGAAAAGGACAGATGTTGGTCTAAGACAGCATTGCCTTCACGCTGAGCTTCTCATCTGTGTATCTGATCCCCTTCTACAGTCAATGGAGACCCTGTTCAATTCACAGGATCCCTGCCTGCACACTGGTGCCTACTGCCACTGAAGATGCCCTAGGGCTTTCCACCACTTCCAGCTGCAGGCCTGGAAGGGTAAAAACCCCCAAAGGCCCTGTGTGATATTTGCCATGCCACGCAGATACCCTGGCATTTCAAATGGCATATGTTGCCTACCAACTCTCCATTCCCTTAAACCGGAGGATAAGTCCCTTGCTCACACATAGTCACATATAATGGAAACACTACATTTAGGCATCAATCTGGAAGTGGGTACTGCCCTTCATCTCTGACCTTAGGTAAAACTGGTATGCCATTCTTCTTCAAGTGACCGTCTGCTCAAGATCCTAGTATTTTTGTATAAATATTTGATACGTTTTTAAGTTTTTTCTCTCTTATTATCCTTTTAAACTATGGATTTCATATTACTTTCATGCACTGTTTTCTGTTCACAAGCAGAAATTTTGTGCAGTATCTATTTATGAAGTTTGGCAAAATTCTGTTTGTACACAACTCAGCACAGGTTCTACAGGGAAGATACCCTGAAATCTTATTTTCAGTTCATAGGGATTAATGTGTAAAATAATATTCAGGGGAAAAAAACAACAAACAAACAAACAAAAAAAAAAAGGATAAATTTGCATTAGCCAGGCTCAAACATCCAGATCTGACATACAGCTGACTATCAAAATGCAGAAAATGGGTAATGCAGAAAGTCCCAGCAGAAAGACAAAGGCAAACATGATTGCTATCTACAAAAAAAGAAAAGGAAAGGACAGGGGTTACAGACAAACCAGCCTAACCATTCCAGGGTAAATTATTCTGTTAAGTGCAGAAGCACACAAAAGAACAAACTGTATCAAACAAAAATATTTTTTTTCTCTGACAAGACAAACAAGCCTGGAATGTTAGAGGAATTCTAAGAATGGGGTATATAGCTTGACCTTTATGTGGCCTCTAATTTTGTCCTACCTGATGTTCTTCAAAATCTAACCATGGAAATATTGTTTAGATTAAATCATCTATAGAGACAGTTGAAGAACCAGGTTCCTGTGAACCTGAGCATCATTATAAGTGTTCCATAATTTTTTGTGCTGGGTCCATTATCTTCCACTAATTTCATTAATGAAGTCAACTATTTCAAAATCTCACCAAACAACAAAACACTTTCAAAATAAAATTGTCATCAGTGAGGGGATGCAAGCATTTACAAACCCTAGATGATCTCAATAAATGTTAGAAACAGTCTGCAATCAACATCAAACCAATGAAATGTGTATAAAGTACTCTACCAAGAAAAAGAAACGTACAGTTACAAAGCAAGTCCACCTGGTTAAACAGCAGCAGAGCAGAAAGGAATCTACTGGGACTACAGACTGAACACCAGTTGGTGGGCTAGACAAAAACATATAAATGTCTGGATCATGGAAGTCCATTTTGCCCAGTATTCACAGCCTCAGAGCAGCATAAACAGTATGGGGCATCACACTTGAAAAATTATACATCAAGTAAGAAAGACTTCAGAAAAGACAGACAAGCAGATACAATATTCAGAAAAAAGTATTATACCAAACTTCAAATCTGTGGAGTTCATCTACAGTTAGAAAGCCACCAGTTAGTGGTGATAAAACCCTCTCGTTCACTTGCAACCCAGATAAAAAAAGGACGAAAACTGTAAGCCACACAGAAACCCACTGCCTGTTATAAAAAGCAGTAGCTTACAAAACATAAGATTTTCCTCTATAACCCTCTCAAACAGGCTTTCTGAGCTAACCTCTGGAACAGATCTCCTTACACTCATAATTCTTCCCTTGCTAGATGTGCCTGCCAGTACAGGATCTTACATCTGAAGTCCAGCAGACCACCTACATCTCCCTGAACAACATGTAATGTTTTATCACTGTAGTTTCTGCCAGTGAAGTATTTATGCTAGGAGATTTTGTCAGTCTCATGGGCTGGGGAGGAAAGAAGGGACACGACTTGTGCTTGCATAAAGCTTTTGTGATTGTTTATACACATAGCTCTAGCTGAGAGGGATACACCAGCATTACCCTAAAGAAGTGACCTTGGCTGTGGTGAGGCAAACAGCAGAAATGGCTGTAAACTGCTTTCAGTAGGTGTTCAAGCTATGGGGTTCAAATTACCTTACACTCAGTAGTGATGCTCAGATAATCCTCTTCTGTTGGTTTTGCTGCCACAAGGCAACCTCCAGCAGATAGGAATTAACAAACAGCTGGCGAAGGCCAAAAGCAAATCCTCCTATCTTAAACTGCCACATGAGGCCTAGGCTTCACATCCAGGCAGGTATCATCGTTACTTCCAAGACATGGGAAAGAGCAAATGCAGATCGGTCTGTGGCAGTGAAGCTTAGCCAAGATTCCCACAGCACTCAATTTCTAGCATATCACTGTTACAAGGCAGGTGTTTGGATCGCTAGTTGTTATAAACAGAAGGATAAAAAGAATCAGAAATATGGCAACGCTCACAGGAACACAGTGTGGAACAATAACATAGCCATTCTTGAAGTGCAGGAAAGAGAGACCAAGTCAGAGTCACCTAATGAAATGAAAACAGCTGTGTCAAATCAACTGTCTAAATCTGAGATAGCTGACATGTGCTCTCTTTATTGGCAATGGAGATGTTGTCAACAGAACCTTGGGAGACATTCATCTCACCCTAATGCAGATGTGCAAAATGACCTCAGGTGAACTGCACTCCAGAAGAGGCTACTTCTTTTTAGATTGTGAAGAAAGCCTGGGATAAAAGGATTTGGTTTAGATATGTAAAAGTTAAGTGAAATCCTACCTACATGTGTAATGACAAAATTAATGAAGGACATAGAAATTAAAATGGAAAAACTAGTAATATTAGAAATCAGGAGGTCAATAAAATTGATTAATAAAGTAAAATAGAAGAACTATCTACTAGAACTCAGCACAATTATCTTTTACCTGATAATGTTTATTTGATAAAAAAAAATATTTACATTTGCAAAGAATTTGTTAGTCCTGGCAAGGTCAACAAAATTAATCCAACTGCCAAACTCGAAGTAAAACGATATGGTAAAACAAAAATTCAGAAGTTAATTCAAACTTCCATAGCCCTCTCATTGCCTATTTTTAATCTAAAATCTAAATTAGAATTTAGATTATTATAAAGAAAGAATCATTTATGAAATTTATGTCGAACTGTAGTATGATAAATATAACTTGCTCTGGGCACTTAGAGCCAAAGACAGCTGTTTTTTTTTGTTGGATCTGATATATAAATACAAGCGGGCAAAATGCACACTTTCTCAAACTTACCACTGGTGACTCTCAGCACTCCTGTCATCCAGCTGCACAGCCTTTTCAGCTTTAATCTTTCCTGAAAATGGAATACAATATATTAAAGGATTTATTGCACTCTTCTGTGGTTTAGGCAACTCCCAATAATGAAGCAACTTCATATACTCCAGCTGCAAAGAAGAAATTGTTTCCCATTCTTGTAAACATGTAGCTGGACAATGTAACATTCTGGCTTTACATCATTTACATACCCATATGTAAATATGTGTGCATATATATGTGTATATATATGGTGCAATTTTAGTATTTTCTCTTAAAATCCAATTTAAATGCAGGTAAATCAGGAAAGATTGGACTCGACTGCCGAAGGAGGCCATGTTGTGTGTAAGACTGAAGACCCCTTAGAAGCAGGTTAAAGCACCTGTCAGAAGAACAAGCAAAGCTGTTTCCTGCCTTGGGTACAGGAATGAACCAATTGCAGTTCCTTTCCAGCACAAAGGCTTCCATTTAGCTCCGCTTTTAACTGAATAAAGATGACAGTGATTTGATCAAACCCACGCTCCCAGTAGGAAGTTCAGATGATTTGCTGTTTGCAAAGTCTCAGCTGCAACCAATTACACCACCCTGACATTTCTGTATTGCAAGTTAACTTCATCAAAACAAAGAACAGCATACACAGTCCCCCAACTCCCTGGAATGTAAAACCCCACAAAACTACTGCCAGCTCCCCCGCAGTCTCAATCCCTCTGCACAGTTTCCAAAAACTGAGATGAAAAAGGCTGCTGCCACCCACCACTTCATGAGAATGAGCCAAACTAGGCTGATTACTCAACACCTAAGACACAATTTCATTCCATCATTCTTTCTCTCTCCTGTCTTTTACCATGCCATTATCTTTCATCAGCTGAGGCTACAGGTGGCCACTGGTAAAAGCAAAGGATCCAGCAACAGTTTACTGTTGTAATTTAGTCCATGTCATAACCCCCACTGCACTGCATGATTTCCATACAAAGAAGCCAAATTGCTGTTAAATCGAAGTCAGTATCAATTAAATAGATAGGACAGTGCAAGTCTTCATGAGTATTCAGATGACAGAATGATAGGGACAAGGACCTTGGACAAGCTGAGGTTGGCTATGGACTATGTAATCACAGCACAAATGCATGACACTGACTTTGAGGTTAACAAAGGGCAGCCAAAAGTGCTTTTGTCAGTGATGTTGTCACTGCTAATAGAACAAAAAGTAGAAAACAGGAAAAGAGTCACAAAATAAGAAATAAAACCTGGAATACACTTGGCAAACCTGAATTTGGTGCAACAAAAAAAAAGGAGAGGCAATGGAGAAAAAAAGGAGAGAGAGTAGTATTCCCAGATACAGGCAAAAGGGCTTATTTTAAGAACAGTGCGTTGACTGGAGGAAAGTGACACATATAGAAAGGATGCAGGTTTTACTGTAATAAAAAGAAAGCCCAAAACAAAAATGGAAATGCAAACTATTCCTCTAGCTAATATGCATCCAGATAGTGAAAGAAAGAACAATGCTTTTAGAAGCAACAAAGTGCTGCAAAGAAGAAAATCAGGACCTTGTTGAGGTTAAGCTGTCAAGCAGGACACATGGGGAGAGATGCCTGGAAGCAACATCAGCTGTCACAGGACTTCTGTTTCTGGTCAATGCTTTTTCCAGATTCACAAAGTATTATCACTACCACTACCACAAGAAAAGGCTGCTGATATGCAGGAGTGCTCCTTTGCCACAGGAAAGCAGGAAAATAAACCCTGACTTTGCCTTGGAATTTATTTATTCCTCCTGCTCTCCCAGATGCAATTAAGAAATTATGCTGACAGCATCTGTCTTTTTCCACATTCTGTATCCATCTGATTCTCAACACAATATAGGATTTTAAGGCACCATCCAGAGTCAACAGCATGTGATTATGACCCACAATACTTCTCCTTCACTGATTTTGGATCTCTCCAAAGGACTGAAGTTGTATACTGTGGCAGGTGATTACCCAAAACATCATTATTATGGTACAAATGCTCCCATTTATTGGACTGGAAATGCCTTGGATTGGAAAACTTAACTGAAGTTCAAAGCATCTTTCACTCTATTCAGCTGGCGTTCTAGATACACATTTTTCCTCTGCTTACCATCAGCAACATATTTCCTCTTCTCATTAGCATCAGCAGTCATGTCAAACAGATCTCCATAAGCACGTGCAAGTCTCCAAAGAAAGTCCACACAGTTTTCATACTGAAAGTAGAGGACAGCTGGGTAATTAAATTGATCAGAATTTAAAATTTTCTTTCATATTGCTTAAAGCAGGTTAACAGAACATGGCATAAGTATTTGGTTATTTTGCATCCTTCTATACTACTTTTAATTTCTGCAAGAACCACTTGACCAACTTTTCACAACCAAAACACAGCTTCTGGAAATACCCTGGGCTGTCTAAAGAGGTTTTACTTCACAAATCAATTTTAAAGTTAATATAAAAGATAAAAAGGTAATCCAGTAAAGCCCAACAGATCCCTGAATGATGCAACGTGTATTTTCTTCAGGGGTGCCATAAGCAACACACTCACTTACAATTAGTATTTCATCTACCTTACTGGGTCTGTCAACGTGTAAATGAAAATACAATCAGAACTAATGTTTGCCAAATCAGAAGAAACTGATACACTGAATTAAGCACTGAATATCAAACCACTTTGAAATTTTATCTGGAGTTACCTATGAGCACAGTAAAGTCAAAGGAAAAATTTACATGAAGTATATTTTAAGGTATAAGCAGACTACAGGCTCATAGTCTGATTTCTTGAGAACACTAGGTCAGGTTAGTACTTAATTCCACAGGACTTTCTCACACAGACCATTTTAAAACCAGCTGAAGTACATATCATTTCTTTGTCACATCCAAGAACACGTACGTAAAAAAAAAAGCCCCAAAATTATTGAGACACAAAACAATAAAATTCTCTACCCACCCAACATGAATACTTGCACCACCTTGAAATATTTCTTTTTCACTGCATTTTAAAAAAACTCATGAAATTTCATCTTCCATTCCTGTGTGCATTTTAATGCTTGTATTAAGGAAGTTCTCAAAAGCAGTGCAAAGTATAAGTTAACAACAATGTAATATCAAGTTTACCCATTAATACCTTGTCATCTTTCTCGAGCAGCAGTCTGAAGCCCTCCTTTTTGTCATCCTCTGAACCCTTGTGCAAATTGTCCACCCGCTGTAAAAAATCAAATAACTCTATGTCCTCCGATTTCGCAATGGCATCGGGTGATTTCTTGAACTCCTTTTCTTCCTCAGAGTCTCCTTCAGAATCAGTATAAGCTGTAAGATAACTAAAATCACAGAAAATAATAACCATCTTTTCTAAAAATATCGGTAAAGCATTTTTCAATTCAAATACAAAAATTTCAGAGCACAATTTCTTCCATTTGTCCAACCTTAAAGGTGTTTTTATTAATGGTATCAAGCTTATTAGTATTGTTACAAAACCTTTATCTTCAAAGGGACAGTACAATCATATTCCAGACTTAAAGGTGAGTTATGTTTAACACCGTCCTGCTGCCTAACACTGAATTGAAAAACTGCGGATACATATTAGATACACATGTATCCTTGTGTTTCAAACGCAGAACACTTTAAATCATTAATGTGTATTAAGACATGCTCTGTAACCCTGAATAGGCCTCTTGAACTCTTTACCTCATTTCCCCTATTTTTTGACATAGGAATGAGCTTACTCCAACCAAACCATAGGTGATATAAGAATCACCTATACAATGTTTTGTTACACACTCTTAAGATCTAAATAGAAGCAATAACATCACTGTTCTCACTTCCTTTACTTAATTCGTTTGAACATTCTGAAGGTCAGAATATCTGAAACTGGGAAAGAGCTTATATCAACTCATTATGCTTAGCGCACAATTACTCAGCACAAAGCAGTCAAGGTCAAAGAAATATTTACAAAAGCCATAAATACCATGCAGAGATAAGCAGGTGGCCTTACTGTCCAAAGTGCTGAGCATACACTAGGGTTCTCCAATTTCATACAGGGGCAGCTGGGTGGCATTATTTTTTAAAAGTAGCTTTTTCTTGTGTGCTAAAAATGGTCAAAAAAGTCTAATCTTATCCATTTCCTCTTTTGAAAATACTGCTCTGATGAGAAATAATAATGTAAAAGTATTAACTGCCAGGTTCAGAGATTTTTAAAATTATAGCCATGAACAGAAAAAGCATGACATGAACTATTCACATGATGCAATTGAGTAACTGAAGTAGTCAAAATACATAAAATCTATTTTTTTTCCAGAAAAATAACCAGTGCAGAATGCTTGCAATATAAATGGAGATTGATACTCATATGGCTTTTAAATACTCTGGTTTTAATACACTGCATTTGAAAGTGACCAGAACTAAACCACAAGGAGATACACTTAGAGCCTGTAAATTAAGAGCTCATCAAGCTACAGAAGTGCTAGAGGTGGCATGACAGATTTGCTCCAAAATTAACCCAGTAGCATGGGAAAGAGGAGTCAAAAATACATTTGGATAAAACAATACATGTATAAACCATGCGTACGTGTTCAAACAGAAAAACAACATGGAGCAGAGGAGAGATGGGAAACTTCAGAGATTCCCACATAATCTTGATGATGCTGAAGTTGATGACACATCCTATCCTGCAGATTCCTTATTTGTAAGTCACCAAACACTTGGTTTGGTTATCTGAAGCATCTTTAAAAAGAGAGCATCTTGTTCTTTCATAGTTATTTTGAAGTGGGTGCAGAGCAACATCATAGATAAGTTGAATTTCTCAGAGCACTAACTTGACCAAAAGTGCAAAGGGATTTGGTGGGAGGGGGCCAGTATTTTAGCTCCAATACATAATCCTGTGATACAAAATATGTTTTGAAAGCACCTTTCCTCACATGGTCTGGATGCTCCACACCCCAATCTGTGCAATTACTGACCTAAAATAAGGGCATTATGTAATACTAAATAGCAATAACTAAGCAGCAAAGGCAATTTCAAATTCCCCACTGCAACTGTAACACTCTTAGTTACAGGAATTTAGGCACTGCATGAACAAATGCTACCTACGCAGGTAGTTGTGAAAGTAAAGAATCAGTATTTGGAAGTCAATGTTGATGTTGCCATCTCTATCTATGCTGCATAATCATCTGCTAAAATTTCTATGATTACTACTGTTCCAATGTTAGAAAGCAGACAAAAGTAGTTATTAAAAATGGTACTCTCCTAGCAAAAATATAAAGGCCAAAGTTGGGCTGACAGCCACATCCTGTCACTCCAAACAAGCCCAGCAGAGATTTTTGTCAGCAAACTGTCATGGCCAAACGCTTAATTCATATGACATCACATAAATCCTATGAGAATATTCACTGAGACACTCAAATGGAAAAGTATGAAGCAGGCCACTATCTAACTGATGACAGAATTCAAGAGGAGCTAATAATAAAATACCATGGAAGAATAATCTTTAAAGATCAGGCCTTACTGCATTAAGCCTTTCCTTATTCCACCTCTCCTAAAGAAACATCATCTCCAGGCCACGTCTCTGCTGAGAAACAGCAGCGAGGACAGGTCATTTCTTCCCCACTCCCTTTCACCTCCACAATCCTGGGAAATTCTGTCCTACCTCATGTATTTATCTGCTTTATGAATCCTCAAAGAATTTTAGTGTGGAGCACATCATTAAGCATTGATGCAAATGCCATAATTTTCAATTTACTTATTGATTGTGTGCTTTAAAGAAGGCAAAACAATGCCTATAAAATGACCTGTGGGTAGTGAAAACACAACAGTGAATAATTTTTTTCAGTTTAAGTCAATGCCAGTAATTCCTGGGGGCTCACACAAACCATACAACCCTTGTGCCTGCTGACATAGACGAGGTGCATTAGTTTCTACACAACCAAGAAAGAATGCCATTCTCAAACAAAATGAATAAAATTATTCAAATCTTCTCCAAGTTTGGTTTGCAGTGAACAACGAGACACCAAAAGTTCCAAGGGAGCGCAAACAATTGCTAGTACTCAAGATACAGCATGCTAGTTACCCCTGGGATGCATCAGCATTCCTCTAGACTTTTCCTTTCTTTCCTCAGGAAAATAACTTTATAGTGCCTACAGGGGGTCCTCTCTTCCTTGTCTCTTCTTCTTTGGCTCCAGAGCTGACATTGCTGCCTCCGAGCATTTCCCAGGAAAAGCACCAAGATGTCAGCCAAGGGCTTCAGGACTGACTTGTGATGAGTTCCTACCTCACTAGTTATGCATCACACATCCCAGGCAAACTTCTACATTGCTCAGGAGTCATAGGGGTAAAGTGACTGCAAGGTAATTCAATTAAGTATAAAACATTAAATATCACTCCAACCATTTTGGCAAATCAGGCATAAAGAACATATTTCTGTTCTGCTTCTGATGATATTTCTTTTCTTACTAGCTCTCTAATCAATATTTATTATAGCCAAAAAGTTTTAAGCATGAAAACAACATGTTAAAAATGCAATACAGACTTTTAAAAAATAAACAGCTAGGATTTGTCATAACAACTTGGGTAAGCTGTACTTTACCAATTTGAATTTCAGTTCAAATTCAGTTCAAATTTCCTATTAGAAAATAGGAAGTCCCTCCAGCTACTTAAGGACAAAATAAGAGTGTAACAGATATTTTCATATAAAACTACAATAACAAGAGCTTGATAACTGACCTCAAAACAGCTAGCAGGCTTATACTTCTACTCATTCTAGAAAAGCATGTTATGAAAAACAATTCTACATTAAAGAAAAAATCAGGACTAACACAAAACAATGCGGGGATTCTTTTTAATGAAGTTTAAAAACTCCAAGAGTCTAAGGACTGATGACAGTAATCCAAAAGGAAAACTCACAGAGAACAGTCATTACAGTTTGGTTTACAAATGCTTCATATAACAACACTGACAACTACAATTTTCCCTGGTATTTTCCTGCAAGAGGTTTTATCAGATGATAAATAGAAAAATAAATATTTGCATGTGATGAACACATTGACTGATACTTGAGAAAATGGAAGAACCTAAAAAATGTCTACAGTCAGTGCCAATTTGCTTTCATCTTTATTACCAATAGATTTTGTTTAAAAGAGAAAAACAGCAAAAACAGTGGTGAGAATGTGACCAACCATCAACACTCTGTTGGATCACAAAGGACTGGTCAAAGTTCAAAGAACAAATGGAAACTGTGCTAGAGACTCACCACACGGTGGTTAAGGGTTCGGTAAATCCAGTCACCTAGTTCTTGACTAAAAAAAACCCTAGCTACACAGTATAAATTCACTCCGCTGGTTCAAAAATCGTGTTACATTGCCTGTAAATTGACAGACAGTGGGCCTAGCCAGGTATCATCTGTTCACAACACTTCAGCTTTTAGACAGATCAAAAATCATCCGTTGTTTCCCTGACAACTTCACAAAGGTTTACACAATCACTGTCTCATCCACTCCTGCTAATTCAATAGAAAGGTGATTATATGTCACAGACTAATCTGCATCAAATTTGCACTGTATGACTCAGCAAAGCGTGTATCCATCAGCAATGATAAATGGCCTTTGAGGAAAAGTTTATCAAACCAGATTAGGGGGGAATAACAAAAGGTAGCATTAAAAGATTTTCTGGAAGAATTTACAAATTCGAATCCAATGTAATCTTGCAGTATAAGTCCATAAAACTCTAAAGATCACTTCATCTGCCAATTCTCAGCATCTACCCACTTGTCGGTTAAAACCAGAAGTGCTTAACACAAGCAAGAAATTATTTGTGTAGCGCACAAGCAGGCAACTGAATGCATTACTGTGTGTGGAACTCACCACAGAACATTCTAAAACAATGCACGTGGCGTAATGCCTACAACACATGAAGTGGTGATGCACATTAACTGGAACAAAGCATGTGTTGTTATTGCCTCTCACGGCAAACTCTCACAGAACTTGTACCACTGTCATTAAAGTTACAGAAAACCTCAGAATAAGCTGTATGTATTGCAACTGTACACACAGTGGGATCAGCAACCTATTTCCATTTGCAAGGAAAAACCACCAAAAACAACCCTCCCACAAAAAGAAAATTACTTAAATTAAATAAAATTATATTTAAAGATGATATGCAAAACGAGCACATCAAGTACAAGGTGTTAGTAGGAAAAACCCCTCTTTTGAAAAGAGATTATAAAACCGCATTGGAAAAGCACATGCTTAAATGACTAACACTATCTATAACCTTAAATTATCTTCCTTCTCTCTGACTGCACACAAATACTTGTCAGTGGAGGCCTTGCTTACGGACCCACTTGTACACTATAATCACTTGTACTGGATCATCTCATCAGCTTCTTCGTCATACAGGAAAACCTGGACAAGTTCCCTTGGCTAGTTCCGAAACAGCAACACATCTCTCCTGACCAGAAAACACGATCTTCTCACATGCTAGGTGTGGAATAGACCCTATATTGAGTCGGTGAGCCTGATTATTCATAAACTGGTCCTTATCCACATCCCCAAATCTCTTATGTATAACATAAAGGCCTCTGCAAACCCACCAATAGATAAAACTGCCTGAGGAACTAATAGAACGGAAGTGTTTCTATATGATACAAAGGAGGAATGTCTTTGAATTCTCCTGCCAATACTCTATACTTAAAATAAAGAATTAGTTCATAATGGAACTGACAGGTCTCAAAATATGGTATCAAAATATAAGACTTGTGAAGCATGTGGGCTAGGATGTAACACAACAAGAAGTTCTGCCCACAGAAACTGAAAATAAATTTGGAGAAGCTCTTAAAGAATAAAATTCCATTAATGATTATATGGAGCATGTTGCTAACTTCAGAATATTACAGTTAATTAATGTATCTTTAAAGAAAAAAGTGGCTTAAGATAGGCGATTTACAGACATAATGCTGCCTACACAGGCATGTTAATACACCAAGGAGATGGTTCAAAAAACCAAGCTGCTGTAAACATACCCTTATTAAATTGCATGTAGGTATCTACTCTAATTATACCAAAACAAAGTTGCAATTACAGGAGAGTAATGTAATCACCATTTTTATATTACTACTGGTGGGTATATTAGGTAACAGATGAAAAGACAAAAATATAGTCCCCCTCCTGGACTCCAGGTACATCTGATCCTTCAGCATGTTCCTCAACACACATCAGGACACAAGATGCGACCAAAACTAGGAATTTTCCACCTTACTGAGACAGTATCTTAAATACCTCATGAATTCTTTTTAAGCCACCAGAAAGTGTATTCAACAGTAAATACATAAACATTCTGCCCTTTATACACATGTTGCATTTGGATGTAGCTTTCAAAGCATATAACAATTTCAGGTAGAACTGTCATAACTCATCTGTAAGGCCCACAGAGAACAATTACTGCAAAAAGCACAACAGTGTTTGTACAATGTGTATGCACGCCATCAGAGACAAGACTATTTTATTACTAGAATCACCTTTAAAATTACAACATTATTCTGCACTTTGCCTTCATTGCAGAGCTATGTAGCAATACTGCAATATTGCACCCTTAAAAGTCTGTATTAGGCCTGGCATTAAGCCAGGTTCTAACCACAGTGTAGATTCACAGGTGGTCACCCACAGTTTTTTCTGATATAAAAATTACTAATCTGAATTTCTGTCAGTTTTGGTTTTGGTTTTTTTCCCCGAATAGAGAAATAGAAGACATATGTCAAACTTTAAAAGGGCTCCTATTTACCATACAAAGCTTCACTTGGGTAATAATGCAATTTACACTGCACGTGTACTGTAGTTTGTACAAAATATTATTGACTCACCCTCCTTCACTTTCTGCCTCCTCAGAGCTGGTAGTTTCTGCTGCACCAGAAGCTGTCTCAGCTTTTCTCCGCTTCGTTGCTCTGTGTGATGGGCTAACCCTCTGAACATCTCCCTTCCCTTGAAGCTCCTTGCGAACAAGCTCTTCAAGCTTTGGAATAGCTTCTTTCAGAAATTTTACCTCTCTCTTCAGTTCGTCCACACTCACTAGCAAGTCATTCAATTTTTCTAGTATCTGCAGTTGCCTTCCATGTAAAACCATTACTGCTCCTTGCTCATTAGGAGGTTCATTTTGCAAGCCCACAGAATTAAGCCTGTTACTTGCATCTAGGAGCACAGGTATACGCACAGCTGCCCCAGGTTTTCGGATCTTACGGTACCAAATCACCATCAGGCTTATTCCAGCAGTCCCTGCCATTATGCCCAGTATTAGCCCTTTATTTTCGAAGGGAGACATTTCCGCACTCTCCTAAAATTGTGAGACAACAACAACAATCGGAGTTAAAGATGTTTTTCCTACTCTAGCCATGCTTTTAAGTCACCAGCGTAAGGCTGGAGGAACTGGCGCGCGCTGCAGACACAAAGTTACAGCACAACTCCAGCAGATTCCGCAGTAAAAGGTGCAATGTGCTGTCACAGCAAACCCGGCTCCGTTACGGGTTTAGGGAGTTCGGGGGAACGAGGGGCACAAGCTCCTGCATCGGCACGTGTGCAGGATCGCAGCCTTCACTTTGAACCTTCCCCGCATCTCAGGGTTTTGTCGTTATAACGCCAGAAACTCTTACGACCGGATTTCCCGCAGCTGCACA